TTTAAGAATCTGTATTTATAAATTAGAAACTGAAAGATTAGATATAGGGATTGGATTGAACCACTTCATTATATAAAAATAGAACAAGTACATAAGAAAAAACAATGCGTAGCTTATAGGCAAAGTCTAATATAATTTAACCAATTATATTTATTTTAATATAAATAAAAACTTATGCTGTAATATTATATAGATAAAAAATTAAAAGAATATAAAAAATGAAAATATAATGAGCATTGTCAACGTGCAATGCACGTATTAAAAAGGAATAATATATATAAATGTGACAATATGGAGGATAATGAGATTTTCGATAGCACCCTTAATGAAATTTGAATTTCTCAAAATAACTTTAATAATGAACAATTAGAAAATTATATTTTCTTAATTGGTTGAATATAATTTATTAAAATTATTTTGTAAATAATACATATAGATAATTAAGCATTTCAAAATTTTAAATTTTATCTCTTTTAAATTTATTTTTTAATAAATATATAATAAATATATATGATAATTAGACATTTGAAAAATTTTTATATTTTAATTTTTTAAATATTTGATTATATTTTTTATTTATAGTTTTAGATATGTATATATGATAATTAGACATTTGAAAATTTTTATATTTTATTTTTTAAATATTTGATTATATTTTTATTATAATTTAGATATGTATTGTGTACTTCGCCGTTGACCTTTAGTTTAGGACGATTCAAAAGAAGTGCTTGCTAACAGAGATAAAACAAGAAAAAAAAGTTCTGAGGCAGAGTATTCCATGATCGTTATAGGAAAAATGCTTCCATCAATCTTGAATTTAATGACGTGATTGATAGGGCTAGAAAGGGATGTAGATACTAGGACTCTCCATCTCCTTTTTTCAGTGCTCTTATCAACCCCTATGAATCTCACCCATTGATTTCCAATTTTACTGAAAAAATGGATGTTCCAGGCCTGAAGAGGTGTTCCAAAAATTCTAAGCCATGCTAACTTGGCAGAAGCTACATCTTTCGCTTTCCAGACTTTAACCAGATCAAACCATTGTTGAAGCCACTCGGTAGCAGTTTCTAACATTGAGGATAACTGCTCTTCCGTGTCAAACTTCAACAGTACCAGATTACCATTCATGGGACTAAGTCAATGTAGTATACTTGCTCCATATAAAAGTTGTTTTGGAGGGTGGGTATTGCTTCTGGGAATCTGACATAACCCACGGCGCATGTTTTAAGCCATGCCTTGTCCTCTTCTGAACTGACATGTTCAGGTCCTAGTCAATCAGTTGTAATATCTTTTTTTTGTTGAGGAGTTTTGGGTGGTTTCTTTCCAAGTGCAACGCCTATGTAGGAAAACCTTCATGTACGTAGCCTGGGTTTTTGTTTACCTGAAAAGGTATATTTTGTCCTGCGCGTCTAAATTTAGATTTAGAAGATGCTTTTAAGAGAGAGACAAATTCTGACCATCAAGTGAGCAATCATTTCCGTTCTAGATTGCTGAGGAAGTAATCATTGACCATCAAAAACTATATATATAGTCTTGGTCCAAACAGAATGTAAAGAAATAAAAAAGCACAATAGGTTTTATTAATTGCACCCATCAAAATGGGAACACAATTAAATTAGGCATCAAGGTTTGCCAAGAGGTATGTTTCAATAACTTTGACCATTGCTAATATCTGTTGCTCCTTAGCCTTGATTTGCTCTTCATCGATCTTAGCGTCGCCCTTAACATAATATTTGCTTACGTTTCTTGGCAATACATCCTCCATTTAGAGTAGGCACTAATTTTATCTCATAAGAGATTTTTTCTATTGTATCACTTCACAATGCACATTTAATAGTAATATAATTGTATTTGAAATTTTCTCTGTCTATTGCGCGTCAATTTTGTTCTTTATATTCTTAACATTGCCACCTTTTTGTGTTAAAAGGAACAAATTAGAAAGTAAAAGTTAATTGAAAGCTGATAAATAATTGATTATACAATAATAACACGTGCGTTTAATCATCACCTTCTATAATGGTAGTTTTCTTAATAGTTCGAGGACCTCCCTTTCCTTCAATAATGTCAATTCTCTTAATGACATGAATAATTTTAGGGATAATTATGAAATCTTCAAGAAGGAAGACCTTAAACATCTTTTTAGGAGAGATTGCAGTAGCAACTTCATCTTCATGAACCAAAGCATACATCTTAACATTTGTATTTGGAAATGATAAATCTTTGCAGAAGATAATACATTTGTTGTGTGCGATGATACGTAGTAAGGCTTAGGGTGGTATTTATAGACCATGATATGTGAATCGACATCATCTAGCAAGATGGAATCTATATATATATATATATATATATTTGGGATGATAATTTTAATAAATGGAATTTGTATGTGAGTGGCATGCATGATTCGAGATTTCAGCAAATAATTTTTTTTGGATACAAATAATGGACCAAAAAAAAAAAAAACCTCAGGTGGGAAGATCCCACAAAATCTGCAAAGTCAATATATTTTTTATGTAGGATTTGCGTTTGTTAGTCAATCAAAGGCTAATTAAGTTTGAAGTAATTATACAAGCCAAAGTCTATAATCAGAAGTATTGTGAAAACATATTGTTAAAGCTGTTACTTCTATTTCCAGGTATTATTATTTGAAGACTGTAATTCGGTGTTATTATAATCCAAAATGATCCCTGATAATGAATATGGTACTAGGCTGCTCGTTCTTGATTCAATTGTTAGGAGTTTTCATGCTTTTTCCTGTAATCATGTTAAACGAGAGCTTAATTCTGTTGCTTTTTAGGTATGTTAGTGTTTTCCTCCGATAAGATTTGGATTGAGGAGGTGCCTCCGTCTATCCTTCTTGTTCTTTTGTCAAACTCTTTGTTTTTTACTTAATAAACATTTTTTCCCTCAAAAAAAAAAAAAAAAAAAAAAATGAGGAGGTGCCTCCGTCTATCCTTCTTGTTCTTTTGTCAAACTCTTTGTTTTTTAAGGCTTAATAAACATTTTTTCCGCTCAAAAAAAAAAAAAAAAAAAAAATATTTGTAAGCAATGAATTAAAAAAAAAAAAAAAAAAAAAAATCATTTGTAACAATGAATTCAAATTTGACTATATTAAAAAATTCAAAAAGTTAAAACATGAAATTGCTATTGTTAAAAGAATTTTACTTAAATATCACCTTGGTTTCACCTTGGTCCGGCGGTGTGAACACACGTTAGTAAATAACAAAAAAGAAAATTGAAAGTTTAAACTTGATTACTAAATTTAATCAAATTTTATTTTTTGTGTTTAAACACAATTCAAGATATTTGAAGTATTTGCACTAATTAACAATTTCAAGCACTAATTTCCAATTTTATTTAATTTAAATCAACCCATAAAAATTTCAAACAATAATCAAATTAATTTTGAAAATTTGTAGCAGCTTTAATATTAATTTTTGTCAAAATATCAAATTCTTAGCACATGAATTAATTCGAAACTAGTCTAATAATTAATACTTTGTTTTACACCTTAATGGGTAGAGATGGAAGGTTACCAGTATTTTGGGGCACCTGCTCTACTATAATTCATTTAAAGAGGATATGAGTAGTTATAAATGAGTTTGGAATGAATATGGATAGTGAAATTGCTACTCGTAACGAATATGAATAGTGAAATTACTACCCGTAACGGATATAGATAGTGAAATTACTATCCATAATGGATACAAGTAGGGTACATGTTTGGATACCCACTACCCATTAATCGCTATATTGAACAGGTTCGGTAGTGGATACTCGTAGGCACCCTATCCATTATTAGGTAAAATGTATTTTAAATAAGTTCGAATTTGGATTGTTTAAGATTCGCGGTACGCTACCCATTTAAGATGTACTTTAAACGAGTTTTGGATATATATGGATAGTAAAATTTAAACGAGTTTGAATATGGATACTTAAATGAGTATTTAAATGGGTTTAGAATGGATACGAGTAGTAGAATTTTAAATGGATATTTATACAGGTAATTTAAAATTTAGTGGTACCCGCTCCGCTTCCATCCTTATTAAGGGATGTATTGGATTAAAACTCTATTAATTTTAAAAGATTTTTAAAATCTTTGGGTTGAAGATGGATTTGTGAATGACTCTTTTATTTATATATAGTACCTTAAAATCTAACGAAATCAATAATTTTATAAAATCCTTCCAAATCAATAATTTTTTGGATACCATCAAATTTGTATTACCTTTTAAAAAGTTATAATTGAATACCATCAGATTTAATAGACTCCAAAAAAATCTAGATTGAATGTTAATAGACTCCAAAAAAATCTAGATTGAATGTTATTAGAATTTTAAAAGATTTTAAAATCTAATAGAGTGTTAATCCAATACATCTCTAACTGTTTCCCAAGTTTAATGATAACATACATATACTTAGTAATGCTTAAGTATATTATTAACAAGTGTAAAACAGACAAGAATATCAACATACAGACAACAAAAATTATGCATATAACTAAATTTAGTGACTCTAGGAGCTCCTTCTTTCCCTTCCGGATTACACTCATGAAGTGTATTCCATAAGTAATAAATACAAACTTAGAGCAGAGAAAATCGATGTCATAGATGAAGGAAATTCTTCAAATATAAGTTGTATAACAAATTTATTTAAAATTCTGATTTTTTCATTTATTAAATTGTCAAATATTAATGAAGAAGAAATAATTAAAGCAAGCATACATTTATAATATCGAAAAGAAAATCCAATGATTCATAGTTTATTTATTATGAATTCATGCTAATTACACCCACAATTCAACAGCATGGTGCATTTCTTGCACACATTTAACTTTTATTACGAGAGAGACCAAAAAAACTATATATAGTCTTGGTCCAAACAGAACGTAAAGAAATAAAAAAGCACAATAGGTTTTAGTAATTGCACCCATAAAATGGGAACACAATTAAATTAATAGGCATCAGGATTTGCCAAGAGGTATGTTTCAATAACTTTGAACATTAGAGGTATGTTTCAATAACTTTGAACATTGTCAATATCTGCTGCTCCCCAGCCTTGATTTGCTCTTCATCAATCTTAGCATCGCCCTTTGCATAATATTTGCTTACGCTCTTAGCAATGGATCCTCCATTTGAAGCCGGCACTAGTTTTATCTCATAAGAGATTTTTTCTAATGTATCGCTCCATAGTGCACCTTCAATTGTAGTATAATTATGTATGAAGTTATCTTTGTCTATTGCGTCAATTCTATTCTTCACATACTTAACTTCGCTGCCTGCTCGTATTAAAAGGAACACATTAATAACTAAAATTAATCAAAAGCTAATAGATAATTAATTATAACAATAATAGTACAGGTTTGTTCAATCATTACCTTCTACAAATGTAGTCTTTTTAATAGTTCCAGGACCTCCATTTCCTTCAATAATCTCAATACTCTTAATGACAGGAATAATTTTAGGGATAATTATAGAATCTTCGAGAACGAAGACCTTAAACATCTTTTCAGGAGAGATTGCAGTAGCAACTTCATTTTCACGAATTAAAGCAGCCATGTCAGATTTGGTGTTTGGAAATGATAAATATTTGCAGAAGACAATATATTTGTTATAAGGGATGAGATGTGTGGTAAAGCAAAAGGTGGTATTTATAGACCAGGCAGGAAATGTGAGTGTGCATCATCTAGGGTATGGATGGAATCTATATATATATATATATATATATATAGTTATATATATAGAAGCGCCACTTGCTTGATGTATTATTTATATTTGGGATAACAATTTTAAATAAATGGAATTTTGTATGTGGATATATATATATATATATATATATAGAATGCGCACCTTGCTGATGTATTATTTATATTTGGGATAACAATTTTAATAAATGGAATTTGTATGTGAGTGGCATGCATGATTCGACATTTCCACAAATCAATATTTTTTTTTGGGTACAAATTAATTGCCTTAGGTGGAACAATCCCACCAAATCTGCAAAAACCAATATATTTTTTTAAGCAAGGTAGCCAAAGTCTACAATCAAAGGCTAATCAGATGTATTGTGAAGAGATATTGTTAAAGCTATTACTTTTATTTCCATGTAGTATCATTTGGAGATTGTAATTAAGGTGTGTTGAGTCAATAAGTGTATTAAAAAAACTCCCAAGCAAATGTAAAATATAAATGTAGTTTATAATTTTTTATTATTTCCGTCCCACAAAAAAAGACTTGTCACTTCTACTTCACACGTATTAAGAAAAAGTAACTAATATTAATAGGCAAAATGTAGTTTATAAATTTTTTTGTGTGTTTGATACTAATAGGCAAAATATTTACTTAATGTGTAGTTAGTGTAATTTTTGGACCAATAAATTTCACATTTTCAACTATATATCTAATAAAAATTTAATTGATCTAATATTATAAGTTCAAGTATTCAATTGAATAATTTATATAAATCAAAATATTTAATAGGTACAATTTTATAAGTTGAAGTATTTTACGTCTCAAAATAAAAAATGAGAATGTGATCCAATTATAATTGGGTTGGGCATTTAATCTTGGGCCTCAAATAGGAAGGAGCCTAAAGTAAATGATCTAACATAATGAGCTAATTGGGCACATCAATTATTTATGGACCACGGTACAGTTGGAGGCGGTTACCATTTTAAATACACAGATTGTATATAAATAGTATACACGCAGGAACGATTAATTACTTAGTTCATTAATTTGTATAATCTTCTACATTCAATATACTACAATATTTTCCCTCAATTTTTACTACTTGAGAAGCTTCAATTCGGTATTTTGGAATTCTCGTCATGCTATCAGAGCCTATAATTTTGATCCTTTATCTCCATCTCATTCTTCTTACTCTTGAAGATCAATAACTGTAAAACATAAAACCGTATGAGATGGCCACAGAGCTAGAACAGAGAGCAACTATGGAAGATCCAGAAGATTACAAGCTCTTGTATTCGGATAATCGTACATCTAACTTGGTAAGTGTGCCTCTAACTAGGAACAACTATCTGTCATGGAGTGGATATATGCTTATTACACTTAGAGCTAAGGACAAGCTAGGTTTTGTTAATGGCACGAATCCTAAACCTAATCCTGATTCACAATTATATGAGAAATTGATGAAAGTTGATTGTATGGTTGTGTCATGGATCTTGAATTCTGTCTCTAAAGAAATTGTTGAAGCATTTTTGCATTCTAATAGTGCTCGTAAGCTATGGGAAGATCTTGCACAAAGATTCGATGAGAGTAATGGGCCCTTATTCTACCAAATCAAGCAAGATATATCTAGATTATCTCAGGGGAATATGTCAGTAATGGTGTATTACACCAAATTCAAGAAGTTGTGGGTTGAACTGATGTGGTTAAGGCCACTACCTAATTGCAAATGTGGTGCATCTAAAGAACTGGCAGGTTTGCAGATGAAGATAGGCTAATGCAATTTTTAATGGGGCTAAATAAGGGTTAAGACAATGTGAAGAATCAGATATTATTAATGGACCCCTTTCTTGGAGTAAATAAAGCATTCTCCTTGGTGCTTAGGGTTGAAAAATAGAGGGAAGTGCACAATCAGACCTTTGAATCAAATGAAAATTTTGCTATAATGTTTGTACAGAAACCACCTAGGAATTATCAAATATCATCAGGAAACTCTCAATGAACATTAAGAAACTTTTAAAGGACACAAGGAAATTTTCAGAAATTCAACAATAGAGAAGTCAGAAACTTCATATAAAAAAGGAGAACAAATTATGCGACTATTTCAAAAATGGAGGTCATGCAAGAGATAGTTGCTTTAAACTACATGGCTATTGATGGGTCCCTGTCAAAGCCAAGAGAATTGAACAAGAGAGTAAGAAGTTTCAAGTGTCTTTCATTGATGAACTCTGCTGCAGATACCAGGGAAATAAATAGGAAAAGAATTAAAACTACTTAGTCCTATTCTAAAGTCCACAAACGGCACTTCATGAGTTAAAATAGCCAAGATTTGCTGACACAATCACAACAGCAAATTGACTTTATTAAACCAACATAGAAAATAATTACAGCAGAAAATAATTCCAACAGCAGAGATATAAGCTAGAGCAAAGACTTAGTCCAAGCACTTCTTATTCTTGATAGGCACCCTTGCAGATCTTCGTGGTGATCTATCAGCTATCCTGAGTGGTTTTATGATCTTAAACAAAATAATGCTAGAGCAAATGCAAGTGTGACAATGCCAATAGCAGAAGCACCTATCTCGGATTTAGAAACACACAGTCTTGGAGATTTACATGACAATATCTCAAAGCTAGTACAACAAGAGGTGATCAAAGCAATTCAGAACAAGAATACTCAGGCTGAATCATACAATCATGACACCTCTATAGCCAACACAGCAAGTTTCATAGGTATATTAACCGATACTTATCCTAAATGCATGTCAGTTCATGAAAAAGGTTTCATGGATAGTGGACACAGGCGCCACTGACCATATGACACCCCATATACAATTTTTTGATACCATTCACAAACTTCATAAACCAAAACCAGTCAGATTGCCAGATGGTTCAATCCAAAATGTCACACACACAGGATCAATAGATTTACACTTATCCTTGACCTTAGACAATGTTCTTTACCTCTGAAGCTTCACATGCAGCCTTATATCCGTAAATATACTGGCAAAAGGTAAACAAAATCTCAGTTAAAACTTTACCCGATCATTGTGTCTTTCAGGATTTGCAGACTGATCTTGTCATTGCCATTGGAAGAGTTGATGGGGACCTATATCATCTGAGTGCTAATTTCTTTGTCATTTCTAATCCTCATTCTACTTCTTATGCTTCAATTTCAAATTTTGCTGTAAATAATACTTGCCTAAACCATAACAAGCTTGTCAAATTATTGTGGCATAGCAAGCAAGGACGCATTTCAAATCAGAGAATTAAACACATATCATTGTTATCCAATTCAATAATGAATGTTATGATTGTCTTGTATGCCCTTTATCCAAACAACAAAGACAGCCATTTTCCATTAGCACTAGTTATACAGAAAAACCATTTGATTCAATGCACATGGATGTTTGGGGTCCATGCTCAATCAATTCTATCACAGGAGCAAAGTATATGATGACAATACTTAAGGATTATAGTAGATATACTTGGGTTTATATGATATCAAAAAAAATGCAAGTAATTGATGTCATAAAACACTACCTACAACTAATTGAAACCCAGTTTAGCAAAGTAAAGACAATTAACACAGACAATGGTACTGAATTCAGAAACAAACAAGTGCAGACCCTCTTAGATGCAAAAGGCATTTTACGCCAACAGAGTTGTCCAGACTCTCCACAACAAAATGGTAGAGTTGAAAGAAAACACAAAACATTACTACAAAGTGGGACAGCTATCATGATACGATCCAAATTACCTAAACCTTTTTGGTCTGAAGTTTTATTAATAGCCACACATATCATGAATAAAGTACCTTCTGAAACTTTACAATGAAAGTCTCCTTTGGAAATGTTGTACAAAAAGGCTCCTAAATTAGCACATTTCAAAGTTATAGGCTGTTTATGATTTGCCTTAAATGTAAGCCCACAAAAAAACAAATTTGACCCTAAAACCATCCCTTTTATCCTGATAGGCTATGCCTGTTGGCTCAAGGGTCAATTTTATCTTGAGATTTTGATAATTAAGCAAAATAAATAAATTTAATTATTTTATTTGTGCTAATATTATTTTATGCAGACTTATTTATGAAAATTAATAAACAAGGCAAATTCAAATAAATCCAAGTTTAAATGAAGATTATGAGGACCATTGAAGATTTTAATGGTTAAGAATATTAGGATTTATTGTAGGATAGAGAGAATATTCTTTTATAAGCACAAAAATATTTTTTTCTCTCTCTCTCAAAATGATTTTCGGAAATTACCTTAATTAAATGGTTAAGAATATTTAGGATTTATTGTAGGATAGAGAGAATAATTCTTTTATAAGCACAAAATATTTTTTTCTTTCTCTCTTCTCTCTCAAAATGATTTTCGGAAATTACCTTAATTTATAAAAGATAAATCATGATTCTTTTCGATTTTCTTACCTAAATAAAAGAGATTTTGTGTTAATCATTTATGGTAACAAAATTTCCTATTTTCAGAAATTTAATTCACTTACCTAAATGAAAGAGATTTTATCTTAATTATTTTTGGTAATAAAATATTTTGAAAAAGTTTTTTTATATTATTTCCAAAAACTATTTTTAAAGGAAAGTATAAAACCTTATTCTTATTCGCTTACCTTAAAAGAAAATATTTTGACTCAAAGAATTTTTGGCAACAAGATCTCCGTATCTTCTAAACATTAGAAAGTCAATATGCTTAGAAACTACTTTCAAAGCCAGTCCTTTCTTTTTCTTCTCTTCTACAGTCAAAGAAGATTTCATTTCTTCTAAAATAAAAGCTCCTATAAGATAATCATAAGTGACGGGAGTCTCTTTGTAATTCATAACAGTTCCTATAGAATCCCATTTTTTAGGTAGAATTCTAAGGATTTTTAGGTAGAATTCTAAGGATTTTCTTAAATTAAAGCTCATCTTCTGAAATTTCCTTTTCGAGAGTTCTCAAAGTTGATTAACTATTATTACGTAAATCTAAGGAATTAATTTCTCCAATGTAGTTTCCCTTCGCTACTACTAAAGCATTTTTCATATTCTCTCCAAAGGATATTTATTCTGAATTCCTTTACTCTAATTGTACTCTCATAGGTAACTCTAAAGTTTTTTCGCCAAAACTTCTGTTGCAGATTTAAGCATCCAGACACTTTGTTGTATTTTTGTTGGCGTCTGGAGGCAGAATGGAAGATATTAATTAGCTTTTTGCATTTATAGCATATCATCTCCAATCAGGCATCTGTATATTCTTCTTTGTTTTTCTAATACTCTTACTTTTCTACAATTTTCCATGGGAATAGCGAGGCCGGGCAGTTATATCAACTGATTTCATGAATTGTTCCAATTATGGTTTTCGCAATAGAGTAAATTAGAAACCATTGAACAATAGGAGGTCTAGAAATAGATTGACCTTGCTAAAGAAGTAAGAGGAAGTGGGGTTGGCCATGAGATCTTATCTCTTAAGCTGTTAAGCTTGGTATGTCAAGAGCCAAAGTTCTCTGATACAGATTGTGGGTCCATATCTAAATGGCTACACCAGAGGTAGGGGGTGAATTGGGTTTTATAAAAATATAATTTAAGCTTAAAAAAAAACTAAAAACACAGATTCCTAAGTGGCATCAACAATAAAAAAAAACCCGCAGAAAATATAAATGAACTTGTGAAAATAAGTTATTGAATTAGAATTGCTTCACAATGTTGCTTATTTATAAAATATAAAGAGCTTTGCAAAGTTGCACCAATCAATTAGAATGCTTCGCAAATGTTCTTCTTTAATATTAAAAGCAGTTTTATGCATGAAAGGCTATGTGATTAGAACTTCATGCATGAAAGTTTAGAAAATCATATAAGACTGT